TCCACATGCACTGACGACATCATCACATCATATGCAGATTCAGTTGGCACAACAGCAAGTACATATACATAGCCCCTCGGCCCAAGACCGGTTGTGATGGTCTGTGTCATGCAACTTACGATTGAGGATTCTCCCACAGGGTTGCCTTAGTCGGGGTTCACCAATGAGATCGGATCAGCGGCTTTGGGATCTGGGCGTAGTGCCTTGGTAACCACATCACTGTACTCCACCGGACGATGACAGGTCATCACATAGCTCTACTCCCTTTCGCCTCAAATACTCTTTCCTTGGGGAGTGGGAGACTCTTGATAGAGTATATAGACTCGAACCCTCATTCTCATGACTATTGGGCGGGGACAGCGGCCTACATATGCTCAGTAGATAACATTGACATTATTGTACACTGTTTATTCACATGTACCCATTAGAATAGATTAAATACCATATATTAGCCATTTATTGGCCTTTTATTGTAACTGGGCCTGCCAGACCCAAGCCTGGAAGCCCAACCCACTTTTCTCCTACAAAATAAGGCAAAAGGTCCATCTCGAACATAAAGGAAATTAAAGGATACTGCCTATCACCGTCCTGTTCCTCGTCACCATTCTGCCCCTTGGCCTGAGAGCCACACAGACCGGACGCCTTAGAGTGGGATCTGTCTTCCAAGAAGTCGTCATTAGTGTAATCAGGTTCGCCGAGGTCAGAGCTAATGATATGGAGCTTCCTCTATTCCTTGGGAACTTCAGCTCGTCTTCAGGATTATTCATCCTCGGGGGCAGATCCAAGACGATGGATTTCATACGGTGGAACCATCGGCGGAGTTTCCAATAGATAAGTCTCTGCATCCGATACTCACCCAGGAAATAGAACACCCCTAGCTCCAGCTCCCAATAAGCCATACCAGCAGAATCAGTTCTGGACCAAGCCTCAATCCTCGAGGTGACAACGTCAAAAGACCAAGCCTTGTGCTCTTCGGCCTTCCATACCTCCGCCATGAACTTGGTCACGGTCTCAGTATGAGCTTTCTCTGCTAGCTCCTTAAGTCGTTCAGCCTCATCGGCACGTTTTTAAGCATCGGCTTGAGCTTTCAGTGAGGCGTCAAGTTTCGCCTAAAGATCACACTTATCATCCCCGACCCGCTTCTTTAAAGCATCAAGCTTAATGCGAAGCTGTTTCAAGTTCCCTACCGCCTCGTCAGCAGATGTGGCCTTGCCCCTCAACACTTCAGCTTGAGTCAGTGTCTCTCGCTTCCTCTTCTCATGCTCCAACGGGAGAAAAGCGGCTTGTAAACAAGGAGTTAGCAAACAACAGAGGAACCACAAAACAAGGGAAAATCTAGCATCAAAGACAAGGAACTTACGAAGAGGATATTATCCATAGCGCCATCGTACAACTTGCCATCTCTCTGGCGGTCAATGAAGCCCTGGTCCCTCACCAACACGATGCGGGAAACCAACTCATGAGAACTCAATGTAGAGTAAAAAAAACCTCCTGTCTTGGGATAACAGTAATAGACTTTGATGTAATCGTCGTCCCCGCGCTGTCCCCCGCCGAAAGCACCAACATTGCTCGACGACACCTCCATAATCACGGGAGGAGGCTACAAATTAGCCCCTGGTTCAAGAGTCTGGTCGTCAACAACAAAGACATTATCATCGCGATGTGTGTCGTCTACATCAACAGCAGCAACCGGTCTCTTCTTCTTGGGTGAGGGTGGGTTTTTGGTGCCCTCACCACTTTTCTTCGAGGTGGTCAATGATGGATGCTTGGCCGAGGCGTCGTCCCCTTACACCACTCTCATCCCGGCGTCAACTTTCTTCCCTGTTATGAGTCATGAAAGAGAGACGTCTCATCTCGAATTTTGCAGGACACAGAATGGTTAGAAAAAATAAAGCAAAGTACAAACTCATAAAAGGGTAAGACGAAGAGCAACTTAACCTTTGGACGCAGCAGTGACCCCCTCCAGAGGACCATCGGCCAACTCATAGGAAATATCCATCCTCGGATAAACAACGTCATCCACGTCACCAGGGATATAATATTGGATGAAGCCAAGGGCCGCCATCTTGTACTCAGTAATATAATCCTTCACACTCTGCGGCCCTCCTTTCGAAAATCGGTCGATCTGTTCCTCAACCACCTCATTTGTTGGGTTAGAATGGATATTGTAGATCCAGGGGTGGCCGACTAGAAAATGCACAACATCACCGAGGGTCACAAAGACAAATTTGGCCTTCCATGCATGAATGGACGTTGCAGGTCCTTGAAAGACCTCTTCCCCCTCACCTTCTGGAGGTTAGCAAAAACCAGCACAGTTCTCATGACCCCCTCAGGCGATCTTATAAAGATTCGTAAAGAGATGAAGCGTTAGCGTGATCCCCAATTCATCACAACGGATTAAAAATCCGATAATCAGCGTATAGCTATTCGGAGTCAACAAGGTCGAAGGAAGTCCTACCTCGTTGAGGTATTCAATGATGAAAGGGGAAGGGGAAAACGCAACCCCTTGGCAAATCTCATAGGATATACACCGAAGTACCCTACAGGCGGTGACAAATGTTGTATGTCGGTTTCGGTGCCCTGATCCTGCCATATGGGACGACATACATCTGAGTGACATGCCAATTACTCGACATTCTCTCAGGGCTGATTATGAGCAGATTCTTGAGGTCTAGTTTTGAAAAACCTGCGCCCAAGCCCTAACGTCGTCGTGACCCTTGTCCTCGCTTTCAGACTCCTGAAGAGCCATCCTCGCGATTGGCCGATATTGGAAAAGGATAGGGAGCATTTGCACATGTTGTAGCACCCTCGTCCCCATGACGGGCCCCTGAATCCCCCTCAGCTTCACCAGATGGGACTGAGTTACCCTCGTCTTGCGGTAATTTTGGGTCATCCTCAGTACGGTAATCACTGGGTTTTTGCCTTGGTTAGGGCTCTCCAGAGGTTGGATCCGTGGGAAATTCAAGTTACAACCTCGAATGCGGAAACTCTACTCCATCAAACCCAACGTCACTCTCGGCTTGAAGGAGTGGGGGACTTTGCCTCGGCAAAAGACTAGCAAGATTGAAAAATATCCCCAACGAACCGCAACAGACACAGGATCAAGAAACACCAACAACACATAGTGCAACATCACATCAGTTAGAAAACTCAACGCCTCCTCGACCAACAAGAGAACACACGAATATTCTACTCCCTTTCACCTCAACACCTCATGACTCAGAGAGTGGGGGTATCCTGATAGAGTATATGGGCCCATACCTCATGGCCCACACGCTCATAGAAAATAAATGCCACAAGACGGTAGAAGACTCGGTTGGTCCCCTCGGTCAGACGAGGCAAATTCTACCAGGAAAACCCAAAACGCTCGAGAACGGAGCTGGAACGGAATTGCATCCTCGACCAATGCCTCCCTCGGTTAAGGCTCCCTCAACAAGGAATTTATCAGTAGCTTATACTTTACATTTAGCTCTATGAAATCATGTAACCAGTCCATTAGTGGCCCATATTATATCGAGCCTCCCAGGCAGGGCTGGTCCTGGTTTAGGGGCAGCCTAGGGCCCACCAGGAAGAGGGCTCTATAAAATATTTAGTGGTAGTATATGAATATGGAGTCCTGTTCACTTCAGGCGTGCCCGACAGGGAGTTCTGTTTGGACAAGCCCATTTGAGGTGCTTCCGGATAATTTTTTTTAATGAAATTTTGTGAGTATGTATTTCATTAAGAGTAGATTTGTCCACAAAATTTCAGTTTAAAATTCAATCGGGAAGTCTGTTAATTAAATTACTGAAAAACGCTGCGCTTTTTGTATATGTACAACATAGTAATTTTTAGTAATTTATTTAAAAGACTTCTTGATTGAATTTTAATCTTAAATTTTATAGACATAGTCTACTCTCCATGAAGAACATCCTCACAAAAATTCATCAAGAAATTCGTCGCGAAATTCCCTCAAACAGGCTTGTCTGTACGCTACATTTGGTCAGGCGTCTCAATACATCATTTCTCTATACTCTAATACCCCATTAAAGATATTCCTCAACCCTCATATCTGTAGACTGCGCCACATTGCAGAGATACACACGAAACATGATTGGATGACTTTCTACCTTCCTCACATAAACCGAGAACTAAACATTTATAGTATTATTGTTAATTTTGCTTCTAAGAATGCCCAAAGAAATGATTTTGTATGACTTATATATGATACCGAGTAGTTCTATGCGCGAAAACATTTAATTATGTAACGAACTTTATTTTTGTTAATGAAACATTTGTAATACATTCTTACAACATACTTACTCCGTCTCTTAAAACTTTACAAAGTTTGACCAGCACAGAGATTAATAAAGTAAACATTGTGTGATTGAGGTTTGTGCAGATGAGAGCGAATTAACTAGAATCATAAGTTCTTTATTTAAAAAAGAAAGTGACAAAGTTAGTGAGACAATCATAAAAAGAAATTTGACACTTATATATTTAGGTGCCTATTTTTTGTCTTTTGTCTCAGGCTTATAAATTGTTAGGACCGGCTCTGCTCCCAAGCCCAAAACATGGGAGTCCAACCCACATGTAAAATGTATTTTGAAAGAAAATTTAGTAAGAAAATGGTATCATTTTTCTCTGCAATATGTATCCTTAACAAAAGGGTGTCTATTAAGCGTTTAAGATGTTTTTAGTTGGATTGAAATTTAATTTACTGGTATAGTTTGATCTGTTTAAGTCTGTTAATATCTAGTGTGATCTGAACTGGTCTGGTCTGATCTGATAAATGTCTGATTTTTGTGCATTTTATAATTGTGGAAATTTGGTATGATTTGATTTGGTCCATTTAAGTCTGCTCAGTAAGAAAATCTTATGCTTAATAAAGTTCTCGAGGTGGTTTAGTTGAGGAGATAGATTAATTAATGGGAATGGAGTGATTAGCGAAAGGATCCGTGGGACCTCCACGCCACTCTAGAGCACATGTCACCGTTAATCCGTGATTGGTGCTCAGCACTGCTAAACCCACTTCGTGTTCCTTGTATATTTATTTCTCCGTTCACAGTATCTCTCTCTATCAATCATACGGAGTACATAATTCATCACAGTAAGGAGAGCCATTAGATTAATCATTACCAATCTGAAATTCTAATTCCAGAGCATCAATGGCGGCCACATTCCAGGTGTTCCTCCTGCTCCAGCTCTTTTTTGCGGCTCAATTCGCTCCCACCTTCTCTCAGCTTTACCCCCCAAACTTCTACCGCCGGAGCTGCCCGCGCTTCGATAAAATCATGCAGGAAACGACGACAACCAAGCAGATAAGCTCACCGACCACCGCCGCCGCCGCGCTCCGCCTATCCTTCCACGACTGCTTCGTCGGCGGCTGCGACGCCTCCATTCTCGTCTCATCCACCCCCTACAACCACGCCGAGCGCGACGCCGACATCAACCTCTCCCTGCCCGGCGACGGATTCGACGTGGTCGTCCGCGCGAAGACTGCGCTCGAGCTCGCCTGCCCTGGAGTCGTTTCCTGCGCCGATATCCTCGCTGTCGCGACCCGCAACCTCGTAGTCCAGACCGGCGGCCCGTACTACCCCGTGAAACTGGGCCGGAAAGACGCGCTGGTCTCGAATATGATTCAGGTGGAGGGAAATCTACCGAGGCCTTCCATGCCTATGGACCAAATCATCCAGATTTTCCAATCTAGAATGTTCTCGATCCAGGAAATGGTTGCTCTTTCCGGGGCGCACACAATCGGGTTCTCGCACTGCAAAGAGTTCAGCTCCAACATCTACACCGGGTCATCCCGGCCCGACCCGTCATACAATCCGCAATTCGCCCAGCAATTGAGAAATGCCTGCGCGAATTTTACCCAGAACCCGACATTGTCGGTGTCCAACGATGTAATGACGCCCGGGACATTCGATAACATGTATTATCAGAACTTGCCCAAAGGATTGGGGCTTTTGTCGTCCGACCGTAAACTGCATTCGGATCCAAGAACCAGACCGTTCGTAGAATTGTACGCCAGGAATCAGTCCGCTTTCTTTGAGGCATTTGGTCGAGCAATGGAGAAGCTCACTGCATACGGTGTGAAGACTGGACGGAACGGCGAGATTAGACGGAGGTGTGACGTCTTCAACCATTGAGATTTGTTTGATTTTTTCCCCTGCTGCTAATTCATCTCTATACGTTCAATTATTCATGTATACTATGTAATCTTTTTCATTTATTGGATTCCCTTATTTTTCATCTTGACTGAAGAGTTTATATTCTGGATTCCTCCATCAATGTTTATAGGGAGATTCATATCATCATATGGGGTCGAGTGAATTTATTACGAATTTGATTTTTAGTCGTTCTTTTGATGAATACAATTAAATTAACACAAATCTGGTTTATTTTAGAGCTGGCATTTAGACAAACCGAATACGAACGATTGAAACTCTCTTTTTTCCTAACATTTGGTTTAATTGTGAACTGTTCTTTGCGGTTTTTAGAATTTTAGTGTTTCATCTTTTTGAACGAACTCGGTCACAGCTCCTACAAGTGTTAGCGTACAAATTACGTAAGTTATACGGAGTAAAATTTTAATAAGTGAATATAAATCAGGAAACAGTTCCTATTTTTACTTTTTACTCTATCTTTCTGTCCCTTATAACTTTGTCAACTTTATTTTTTTGGATGTCAACTTTATTTTTTTGGATGTCCGACTAACTTTGTCACTTTTTCTTTAAAATAAAAAATTTGTTGTTCCAGTTAATTCTCTCCTTAGAAGGGTGAACAAAATCACACTAACATACCTAGTACATGTGAAAGAATATAAGAGCCAGGTTTGGTGACTATGTTTTTCAGCTTATGAAGCTTATTAACCAACTTTTTAACCAAACACGTAACTTTTGATTTCGTGCGTGGAATTGTGTAATAATAATAAAAAAGTAAAGTTGAAAGTTCTTTTCTGGCTATATTGGTTAAGGTTATAGTACACGATCATTTTAGCTATTTTTTCATATATTTTTTCTTTATTTTATTAGTAAAATATATTTTAAATATAATTTATAAAATCAACAGAATCAGCCAATACACCTACTTCAGCCAGAATTTCATAAATTTCAGTAGAATAAGCCGATTCAACCAATTTCAGTGCTACCAAACGGTCTCTAACTATACAAGTCAAAAGGTGGTTGGATAAAAACACTTCTTGAGTTTGATTTTTGCGGAGAGAGTTCTAAATCCAACTCAATTCAAGTGTCTTATATGCATTTCTTATCACTATCTCCTCCAATCATTTATTTATAATACAAAGTACTTGTTAACAAATCATTTTCATAACGATGCTCATCATAGTGGGGATGTGAAAGTCCCAAATACTCCCTTCGTCCCTTAAAGGTTTACCATGTTTGACCGGCACGTAGAATAATAAAGTAAAAACTGTGTGGTAGAAATTTGTGCAGAGGAGAGAGAAATAACAAGAGTAATTGATTGATTAAAAGGGAAAGTGATAAAGTTTTTGAGACAACAAAAAAAGGAAAGTTAGCAAACTTATAAGGGACGGAGGGAGTATCATTTCACGAGATGAAAATGGTGTATATGGAAAGTCAAATATGAATCCATCAAAATATCAAACGCATAAACAACTCAAATATATTTATAATTGTTTGAAAGGAACAATTAGAAAATGAAATTAAGATGAATAACTAAAATAGAAGAATAACTATAGTATACAAGGATTACAAGGACAACCTATGCTTGAGACGAGGATAAGGGTTAAAATGAAGATATTTGAGACAACGTTCATACAACAAAATGGATTGGTATAAGTGCCACTGTCTCAAAGTCAATAGGGTATTAAAGGCTCATATTGACCACTCTCATATAACATACAGACATACAGTCATGCAAATAAGAGCAATTAATAAAAGAATCCCCTACATCCTCCAATTTTTATGTATCGTGACTGTGAATGTGTCAAAGAGGTTTTACAAGTATCTTTAGAGTCCTAAACAATGAATAAGAGCAATGTGATCATCAAAGTGTTAGAAAGTCAAAGAGACATTTTCACAAACACATAACGTCCATAACATATTTATGTCTATCAAAATCTCTACACGAAGTGTCTCATCGTGAAGAGGGATGCTAACGTACTACACCAGTAAAATATGAAGTACGTAATAATAAAGTGGTACGAAGTATATTATATTTTGGGCAAATTTTCCTTTTTTTGATTTTTTTAAACCCGGAAGGCAAACCACCAAAATCAGTGGGGTAAATGCCGGGTGTCATTTACCAGGATTTTATTAAGTGCATTAGGAAACAAACATGAGAGGAGGACCAGACCAAAGTCTCTCAAGCAAAAAATACATAAAAGAGAGAAATTAATGGGAAAATCTAAGAGAAGGGACCCCAAATAAATCCATATAGAATGCATTTTTAGCTTGGGCCGGTAAGTCTGAAACTCTAGTGTAAATCATCGGTTGGGCCGAATATTTATCTGCCAAGTAGTGTGTTGTCCAATTAGCTTCACGCCAGACATGAGAAAAGGAAATCCCTCTATCCACCGACTGGAGTAACATTTCCTTTATTTCAACTGTCCATCTTCCTCACCTCCTTCTTGAATGTATCGAAGAGCTTCGAGAGAGTCCAATTCAACCTCAAAATCGGAGAAACCCTTAGCCAGAGCCCATGTCGTAGCACGTATTGCCACCAGCAGTTCCGCCTCTAGAGCTGATAAAGCCTGAATTGGAAAGGCGGTAGCTAAGATCATCTCACCGTCGCTATTCCTGAGTATAGCACCACCTGACACCTGATGAGGTAAAAAACATGCATCCGTGTTTAATTTCAGCTTATTCTTCGGTTTATTCCATCTAACAGCCAAGATAATTGGTCGAGAAGGTCGGTATGTATGAGGAATAATCCATTCCTCGTAAAGGAAGTTTTCAACCTTACCCACCTTACTGGTAGAGATATTGGAAATCCAGTTTCGAGTGTAGTTTTTAATCTGAGCAAGTAAACCGTCACTAGTTACCTGAGTACCTTCTGAACCCCAAATAATAGATGCGTAAGATTTCCAAACATGCCAACATATGACTCCTGGAAAAATGTGCTTAAGAATATCAGCTAACTTTTTCGAACCTGCTTTGAGCCACCAAGTCATAAAAGCTTTCCTAATAGTATCAGTGTGATGATTAAGCGAGATCCCAAAAATGTTCATAAAATAATCCCAAATAGGTCTGAATTTGGGGCAGTTGAAGAAGATATGATTAATAGTATCTCACTCAGCCCTGCAAAGAGGGCAGATTGTAGGGTTCAAAACCAATTGAAATCTGCTTAAATTATCAGGGATGTGAAGGATATTCTTGAAGAGTTTCCATTGAAAAAACTTGAGATTAAGAGGTAGTTTTGGATGCCATATATATTTGTAGGAAAAGGCTGAATGATTTTCCTCTCTAACAACTTCATAAGCAGAGCTGAATGAGAATTTGCCATCAGTTTCTGGTTCCCAAAAATAACTTCCATCATTGTTAACCCCACATAAAGGACTGACCAGAGAGTTGATGGAGCAGATTCTTCTCCAAACAGAAGAATCAGAAGTTTTAGGCACCAAGTTGTCCCCCCTAGGATATCTAGCCTTAAGAAAGTTAGACCAGAGTGAGTCTCCAGTCTTTCATTTCCACCATAGCTTAATGGAGAATGCCTTTTCGATATATGTGAGTGCCCTAATGCCCAGACCACCCTCTAGAGTAGGAAAGCAAAGATGAGACCACTTAATCCAATGATATTTGGGTATAGCATTAGAGGCACCCCAAAAAAAGATGCCATTTTAGTTTCTAGAATTCTGACAATCTTCTTGGGGAGGGTATCTACTGTCAGCACATGAAGAGGAATAGAATTTAGAATGTGTTTGATTAAAACCAAACGGCCACCTTGAGAGAGATTCTTCTGTTTCAATAAAGATAGTTTAGAATCAAACTGATTAACAATGTTCATGCAATAAACAACTCTATTAATTCCTTTGTGCAGGTTAACACCCAGGTATTTTACAGGAAGAGCAACAACATTCATACCAAGCAGATTTTGAATAGTATGAACTCTTGGACCAATATGTTTTCCACAAAGGAAAGAACTCTTTTGTTGGTTCACAGTTTGACCTGAGGCTCTCTGGTAAGATTCTATGAATTTTCTGAGGTTTATTAAAGATTTAGAATCCCCATTTAGGAAAATAAGAAGGTCATCTGCATAGCCAAGATGAGATATGGGATATCCAACAGATCCCATCCAGAAAGATTTAATTGCACCCCTATTCATGTGCCATTTACGACCTCTAGAGAAGGCTTCTGAGGCCAAGATAAAGAGATAAGGAGATAAAGGATCTCCTTGTTTGACCCATCTTTTAGGCTTGAAAAAACCGGATGGAACCCCATTAATTAAAATAGACAAATAAGTAGACTGAAGGTTGTTTAAAACAAGCTGGATGAAATGCTGAGAGAAACCAAAGCTTTTGAAAATCTCACTAAGAAAGCTCCATGATAATTTATCAAAAGCTTTAGCCATGTCAAGCTTCACCACTACATTAGAGCCTCTGATTTTCTTATCAATTGAGTGAATCATCTCTTGAGCAATGAGGATGTGTTCAGCCATGTCCCTATTCTTCATGAAACCAATCTGTTCATGAGAGATGAGCTTAGGAAGAATAGTGGCCAATCTGTCTGTAAGGACTTTAGTGCAGACCTTGCTAATAAAATTAGATAGGCAAATAGGCCTAAAGTCACCAAAATTAGAAGGATTGTCAATTTTGGGAATAAGCACCACAAGGCAGCTAGATATACCAGGGGGAATGGGCATTCCCATAAAAAAATCTTGCACAGCCTTAACCATATCCTCACCCACAATCTGCCAGCATTTTTTGAAAAATTTACCATTGAAACCATCTGGCCCAGGAGCAGCATTTTGATTTAAACTCCAAACAACATTTTTTACCTCCTCTTCATAAGGCAGTTGCATCAGCATGTGGTTATCTGTATCAGTAACAATTTTTGGTATAAATTGCAGGATCTCATAAGAATCTACATGGGGATCAACTGAATAAAGGTCAGAAAAAAAGTTAACTGCCTCCTTCGCAATCTCAGACAGGGAAGTAATGCTTTGACCCTCAGAATTTGTAATAGTAGAGATAGTCTGTTTTCTCTGTCTCACTTTCACAAAAGAATGGAAAAACTGGGAGTTGGAATCCCCATCTTTGAGCCAGTTTAAATGAACTTTTTGCTTCCAAAATGTCCTCTCAAACTGCAATTTTGTAGTTAGAAGAGCTTTAAGATGATACCACTGTTGTCTGTTTTCCTCATTAGGCTCCTCCATGAAAGATTTTCAGCCTGAGTGACTTTATCTTCACAGTCTTTGATATGCTCAAAAATGTTTCCAAAGGAATCCCTGTTCCATTTTCTAAGGTCTCTTTTAAGGCATTTAAGTTTACGAACAAGACCTCTCATACCACCAAATCTTGGGCTAGAGTCCCAACTCTTCTTTACTGCATCAATGAAATTGTGATGAGATAACCACATATTTTGAAATTTAAAAGATTTAGGACCACTCAAAGTATCAGTAGCACACTGAATAAAAATTGGGCAGTGATTAGAAGGAGTTTTATCCAAAATAGTGATTTGAATCTTTGAGAAGTAATCACTCCATTTAGAGTTAACAAGATATCTATCCAATCTCCTCCAAACCCAACCATTAGCTTTGGTCCCGGCCCAAGTGAATTGGGGCCCAGAATATTGGGGTGCTGCTAAGTGACGATTGGTAAACGCTTCAACATTAATTATTACTAGAAACGATCAATGAACCGATGGTTAATCATTGATGGTTTCATAAGTAAGTAACTTCAGGTTATTAATGCACAGTCATGATTAATAATCTTAAAAGGGATTATTTGTGTTGATTAAACTGAAACCGTTGTGTTGAAGTTATCAATCTCAATTGATTTCACAAGTAGTTAAAAAAATTAAATGTTATTATTAAATCGGTATATGATAGTGTTTTATATTTGACTAATAGTAAAAGTTGTTAATGAACTGTCTCATTATTAATAACTATCATCGATGAATTGGATATACTCCTCGATTGAGTATTCGAGAGGGTATAAGTTAATGATATAACCGAGATCGACTAACATCTCAACAAGTGGAAAGTAGCAAACACAAGTACTTTAATCTTATTAATTTAAGTTCATCTTAGTATTTTTTTAATTAAATCAAATCAATTCTAAAATTGCCCCTTTTAGTTACTAATTCCATAAAAGAAAAGTATTTATTTCGCTGTGAATATGAACCTAACTACACTATACTACGTATAAGTGTTAAATATTGATTTATTTTGAGACACCAAAAGATTTTAGTGTTGTCACCATCATACCACAAGATACTTGACATCTTTGAAATTATTATGCTCCACTCTCTATATAAAAAAAAGTAAAGAACTCAAACATCAATTATATAATCTTCTTGGCTTGGGCGGTTGGGCCGAGTAGGCTGGGCAAACAAATGTTTTACTCCATATGACAGAGGCCCATTATATTCAAATGTTTAGAGGATTCTTGGGCTAAGTTCTTGTGTTTTCTAGAACAAACACGAGGAAAATTTCTTCCGCAGATGAAAGCGCGTACGAATCACCTCCACGCTCTGGACACGTCTCCCTTTTAAAAAATTTACTCGTATTTATTACTCCATATAAGTCTTTCCTTTCTTGGTCCAAAAGTGGAATCTCCTAACTCAGGAGCCCCCATTTTCTGACCCGACAGGATTTTTGGGAGTATGTTAATCAGAAGCTCAGCCGGCCCAATGATGGTAGATTTTTTCACGTGCGCACCAGAAGTTCAGTCTTATTTCAGGTTCTGTGACCTCCACACCCCGCCGCCGGTAAGTTCTTTCGTTTCTTTTGTGTTGTCTTCGGCCCCAAGATATGTTCTCCCCCTCTTTCTATAAATGATCTCCAAACTCTATCCTGACTGCATATCAAAATCTCCATAAAATTGTTCAACAGAAAAGCAGAGAGGATCAGAGGAGGAAGATAAAGAGTCTGAAAGAGATCGAGAGAGATGGGTGGAGGAACAGAAGCTTTTCCAGATTTAGGAAGCCATTGCCAAAACTCCGATTGCCGCCAACTCGATTTTCTCCCCTTCCGGTGCGATGCCTGTGACCACGTTTTCTGCTCTGAACACAGATCGTACAAATCTCACGACTGTCCGAAATCGGACCGCAATAACCGGAAGGTGGTGGTCTGTGAGGCCTGCTCCATGTCTATAGAGACCACCGGCTGCGACGGCGAAGATGAGAAGGCCGTATTGCAGAGGCACGAGAAATCCGGCCATTGCGACCCGAAAAAGAAGAAGAAACCCACCTGTCCGGTGAGGCGGTGCAAGGACGTGCTGACTTTTTCGAATACGAGCTATTGTAAGACTTGCCGGATCCGGGTATGCTTAAAGCATCGATTTCCGGCGGATCACGGTTGCAATGCGGGAGCCGCATCCTCGATTTCTGCCGGCTCACGGTTGATCAAGGATTTAGGGGGCGTTGGTAATAAGTTTATGATTGCTTTTGCTGGAAGGAATGGAAAAGATTGTGTGAAGGATGGTAGAGCATCTACATCTTCTCAACCTTCCACGCCCTCTTCGGTTAAAGCTTGTTGAAGATTTGGATTGAAATCCCTTCCTTAGTATGTTGTGTTTACATATACAAGTAGCAAAAATGATGTAGAGGTGGCTGCATGATTATTAATATGCAGATTTAAGAAACAAATAATTTTAAAATATACTTCGTATTTTATTAATAAAATAAGTAAAAAATTATATGTAAAAATAGTTAAAATGATCGTCTACAGTAGCTTCCGTCAATACAGCCAGAAAAGTAACTCTAATCTTACTTTGTCTGCTTATTACACAATTCAGCGCGCGGAAGCAAAAGTTATGTGTTTGGTGAAAAAGCTGGCTAATAAGCCTGATAAGCCGAAAAACAGTATTACCAAACGGCCTCGTAATCTATTGTTTGTTTAAGTTTGTGAACTTGCCAAGTTACTCGTCCTCCTTTAATTTGCGAGTCTCAACATGCTAGTTACTTAATTTGCCATTTATTTGCCATTTCGAAAATTCTTCTCACTTTGACTTGGCACGGATATTAAGAAAATGGAATAAAGTGAAAATGTGTGATTGTAGTTGTGTAAGAAAAAAATGAAATGAATGTGAATCACACAAATTGTCCAAAAATGATAAGAGGGAAAATTTTTTTGGGGCATCTCAAAAAAGAAAGTGAGAAGAATTTTATGGGACAGAAGGAGTAATATTTACTTCCTAGTAGGGATGGACTCGGGTCCGGGACGGGTCCGGGTCGGGCCTAGGCCCGGGTGGGCCGGCGGGTCAGAAATGGTGGACCCGGGACCGGCCCGGGTAACCACCGGGTCTGGTCCGGGGCCGGGCCGGGCCCATTATATATTTTTTTGTTTTCCTCTTCCAAATTAACCCCCCTCCCACCCCCAACCCCCCAAACCACCCCAAATGGCCCAAAATACCCAGCCTAACCCGAAAATTTAAAAAAAAATTGAAAAAAAAATAGTTTTTGGTCCGACCGGGTCGGGCCTTGTTTTGGGTGACCCGAGCCCGGACCGGAAAACCCACGGACCGGGCCTACCCGAACCGGTCACTGACCGGGCCACCGGGCCGGGCCGGGCCGGAACAGTACCGGTCCCGGGCCGGTTTCGGGTCGGGCCACCCGGCTCGAGTCCATGCCTACTTCCTAGTATCCAATTTGTGATTATGATAAAATTTAGGTTCCGTTTGCTAGATGTTACGTTGTATGATTGTTGAAAAGTTGTGTAGTGATATTTGTGCATAACTAAAGCAAAATACAAAAGGCCAAACTTGTCAATCTTGAAGCTATGTTGAAGCTATGTATGGTGCATTTTTTTGCTAGGAAAAGGTACAAATATATCTGATGGAGTATATGGGCCTAGACCCCAAGACCCACATACTCAGAAGAATGAGAGGCTCAACTGTCATCCAGTGGGGCCTCCGTCGGCCAGATGACCCTCCATCGGCCAGAAAGATATCAACTCAGAACATGGTTCGGAAGCCAGGAGAATCGGGTGTTCCCGTCAGCCGGGGCTCCGTCGTCATGGCCGCGTCGGCCACAAAGGGCTCCCAGAATCGGATTTCGTACTTAGTTATTTCTACACATCTTGTACTCAGCCTAATAGTGGCCCAATTGTAAATGGGTCTCCCAAGCCCAAGACTTGGGAGCCCAGCCCTAATTCCTCTATAAATACTCCCCTTGGGGGTAGTTGTAGGGGGTTCACAAATCATTTATTGCAAGGAATTATTGCACTTCTCTCTCTAGTTCTCACTTCTCTCTAGGAGTTAATACTCCATCATTTGGTGCTTTCATTGAGAGCTAGAACAATCAAGTTAGCCTCCTTCATCGCTACCAAGCACAACTAACTGATCATGGGAAGAACTAAGTCTAACCGAAACCTCCTCGGCAAGGTCATCCCTGAGGCCCAAGAGAATCGGGAACACGAGGAGGACGCTAAGGCCGACAAGGCCGCCGACGAGGATGTCTTCCAGGAAGCCATCGACCACACGACTGACCTGCGCAACAAGCTCAACGGAGGCGGCCCAGACGCCTGCATCGGCTTGGAAAAGAAGCGCGCAGAAAAATGCGACAATGCCTCAGGGCAACCGGCTTCTCCTGTCGTTGACCCCCAGCTCCAAGCCGCACTCTCGGCCATCATCGCCAGCTTGGCCGAGAACCCCACTGTCCTTAGTGCGCTCACGCCAAGGACGGGGGAGAACACGACCCCGCCTCCTCAACCCCATCCGTTGGCCGTCAGGCTAGGAAACGACGAAGGGGTGATGCCCCAGGACACGACGTCATCCTACTCCCACCCTACTTCCCCGCTTCGAGCTGGACCGACCCCATCGCGTGGAAAAGCCTCAGCCTTTAACAGGCTAGGTGACACGTGCCGTCGGCCTTCTTCGGAGTGGATGGCGGGACGGATTGGTCAGCGTGAGCCTGGCTCACCGAGGGAAAGCTTGGGGTCCGTATCTCGGTCAGCGGATCGGCTCCGCCTGGACAAAGGCAAGGGGAAACTGCATGAGGGTGACGCACGCCATCAAATCAATACGGCTCACGCAGCCCGCTTGCAGACGCAGGGCTCCACCATGGCTGCCAAGGATCCTAGGGACGAGGTGATCGCCCAGCTCGAGCGAAGGCTCGCTCAGATGGAGGCCAAGCAGCTGGCCGCCACCCCCACGGGCAACTCATCCAGGGATCCTGGCTTCAACGCCCTTCTGCACATGGTCAGTATCCTTGAGAGGGAGTTGGCCGAAGGACGAGGAGACCCCATCGTCCAGGTCAGGACGAGGACTCCCTTCACTGGCAGGGTACTCTCGGCCCCTATTCCCGAGAAGTACAGGGGAAACGCTATTAAGCCCTGTGACGGCCACTCTGACCCTCAGGAGCACTTCAGCCGCTACCAGAACAACATATTGATGGTGAACGCGTCAGATGAATACCTCTGTCGTTGGTTCCTTTATACTCTTGAAGGGCCAGCGTACGAGTGGTTCAACGCGCTTCCCGAAGGAAGCATAGACTCATGGCACGATCTTGCTCAGCGCTTCCTCACTTACTTTGCCAGGAGGAAGCGCGCGAAGAAGTATTTCACCCATCTTCTCTCCATTAAGCAGCAGCCTGACGAGTCACTCCGGTCATTCATCGACCGGTGGATGAGGGAGAACGATGAGGTTGAGGGGGCTGATGAGCGCACCCTCCTGGTCCTGTTTCAGGGCGCCCTCCGCAGCACCCCATATGCGAGGAGTCTCATCACTGACCCACCAAGGTCCTACATGAAGGCGCTTCAGCGAGGAAACTTATACGCTGACGCCGACGAGCTCCACAACCACAAGAAGGACAGAGGGCACCTGTCCAAAAGACGAATACAGCGCCAACTCCAGGCGCCCTCTCGGCCGGAGACCGAGGTCAGGGAGGACAAAGCCGCCATGGATCTGGCGGAAAGAACAAGGACCGCATATGGCGGTCGAGGATGGAAAGGCCGAAGACCCCACTCACTCATTCGGTCAGCTCCATCCTCGATTATGCCAAGGAACATGATCTCATTGAACGAGATCCTCGGTCGGCGAAGGAAATCTAAGCCGTCCATCAGGGCGGCACCTACTGCCATTACCACAGGAACATCTCCCACAACATAGACGATTGCGTCACGCTAAAGAGAGCCATCGAGAAGCTGATTCGTCAGGGGGAACTCTCCCAATTTGTCAAAGGTGGCCCACGCAAAAATACGTGGGTAAACACCGTCAAAACTGGGGGCGAACCCTCTGCGAAGAAGCGTGAGATCGGCAGACTCAGCGATGACGATAAAGACTTTGAGGTGCCCCCACCGAAGAAGAACCACATCCACCTCATTGTGGGGGGCAACACTGGGGGGGGACTCCGCCACCCAGAGGAAGAAATGGGTCCAATCCCTTTACATTGGGGAGGTGTCCCATGCTCCCCCCACCCGAAGAAGCAGCGGACGGAGGCGATCACCTTCACCGACAAAGATCTGCCTCCGGGACCCGCATCACACAGGGACGCCCTCGTCATCCGGTGCGAGATAGGTGACTATCATCCACCGCACTTACATCGATACGGGGAGCTCCGTCAACGTCATGTACCTTGACACATTCAAGCAACTGAAGCTGGATAAAGCCCTGCTCAAGCCGATATGGACACCGTTGTCCGGCTTCACCGAGGACTCTATCGACGCCGAAGGCACAATAGTCCTCCCCGTAGAGGTCGACGACGACTCCCATCGCGTCAAGATTAACATGGAGTTCATGGTGGTCAACCTCGAGTGCACCCACAACCTGATCTGGGGGAGGCGGGCACTAGAGGACCTGGAGGCCATCATCTCCATGAAACACCTATGCCTGAAGTTCCCTACTAGTGGCGGTATCGGCTACGCCAGGGGAAACCAGAAGATAGCCAGAGCATGCTACTTGAAGCTCACAAAGCTGGCAGCTAGCTCCGGGCAGAGGATAGATACCATCACCGCCACCGTCACCAAGGAAGAGGAGAGGCCACATGCTGAGCCAGTCGAAGAGGTCGAGGAGGTCCCCCTGGATACCTCCCGGCGGGAGCGGGTCCTGAAAATCGGGAAGCAGCTCCCACAGGACCAACGCGACGGCATCCTCAGAGTCTTGCGATCATATGCAATCATTTTTGCAAGGGGGCGGACGACATGCCAGGCATCAGCCGAAAGGTGATCACTCACCGACTGTCAGTTGATCCCGCCTCCACGCCAGTCAAGCAGAAGCGGCGCTACCTTTCGGCCGATAGAAGGGACTTCGTCAAGGGGGAGGTCACCATGCTCCTCTCAATCAGCCACATCAAGGAGGTGAAGTACCCAACCTGGCTGACCAACGTCATCCTTGCCCAGAAGCCGCCAACGTTCAGAATGTGCGTTGATTACACTGACCTAAACAAGGCGTGCCCTATGGACCCATTCCCTCTCCCCAACATTGATCAATTAGTGGACGAGACGGTGGGGTGCGAGCTGATGTCGTTCCTTGACGCCTTCAGGGGGTACCACCAGATATTCATGCACGAAGATGACGCCGAGAAGACGGCCTTCATGACCTCGGAGGGAATCTTCTGCTACCTCGTCATGGCCTTTAGGCTCAAGAACTCATGCGCCACATAGACCAGGATGGTAGCCAAAATCTTCAGAGCAGTCCTCGGTCGGACGATGGAGGCGTATGTCGATGATATGATCGTCAAAAGCAAGCTATCTACCAGCCACGCCGATGACCTCCAGGAAATTTTTGAAATCATGAAGAAATTCCAGCTCCGCCTGAACCCAAAGAAGTGCACCTTCGGCGTCCAAGGGGCAAGTTCCTCGGCAACATGGTCAACCGAAGGGGCATTGAAATCAATCTAGAGAAGATACATGCCATTGTTAATATGGAGCCACCACGAAATGTGAAGGAGGTACAATGGCTGATGGGACGCCTTGCGGCCCTAAACCGTTTCCTCTCGAAATCAGCTGAAAGGTCCCTCCCTTTCTTCCAGATTATGCGCAAGGCAAACAGCTTCAAGTGGACGACGGAATGCCAGCAAGTATTTGAGGAGCTGAAGTGGTACCTATCGTCCCCTCCTGTGCTTTCTAAACCGAAAGCTGGTGAAACCCTCTTCTTATACATGGGGGTGAGCACGTCGGCCATCAGTTCTGTGCTCATCCGTGAGGATGAAGGGGTACAGAAGGAAATTTTCTACGTAAGCAAGACGCTCCGGGAGGCCGAGCTCAGGTACTCCCTCATTGAAAAGACGGTACTGGTCATTGTCCATACAGTGAAAAAGCTAGGGCACTACTTTCAGGCCCATGCCGTCCACGTCTTGACCCAGCAGCCCCTCGGCGCACTCATGCGGAGCCCCACCAGTTCCTCAAGGATGGTAAAGTGGGCAATCTTCCTCAGCCAATTCCAGATTGAAATCAAGCCAAGGCCATCTATCAAG